TAGCGAGTGGATGCCGCAAAATTACACGCTATACCGACAAAATTAGAGCGAGAACCTGAGTGGTATTCCGTGTTTTATAAATAAAGTTGAGTTGTAGTGAACTTCTACAAAATGTTGCGTAATAATTTCTTAGTCCTCTTCAGCGGTGCAGTAGGGCAGTGTACAGTAGCAACATGTCACACAGAGAGATGAACTATTATTTATCAGCGTGAGAAACTTTTTTTTCTAACTTATTTCTAAACTATTTATTTACAGGTCCCATCAGTTATTTTAGTAATTGTCCCAGACATCTTGTGCTACCCCTGTCACAATGATAGCAGGTGGGCCCTGCAACACACACATACCCTCTCCCAGTCTCACAGCAATCAGGACATGCTGCGTGTGTGTGCAGCACACAGCCTGCCCACAGTTTGTCATTTTGTAGTGGCTAAGGGGCCTGCGGGTGCAGTGTGTGTCGCTCACTCCAGCTCCAACAAAAGGAAGCCTGCTCTGTTTCGCATTCCCTTTCCTAATGTCTGGATGGAAGGTATGGATTGCAGGCAGATTATATTGTGAACATGCATGGTTACTAGAAATGTTCCCAGGTTGTACGCCATCCATCCATCTTTGGTGTGTTCTTGCTGTGTTGAAATTCTAATTCCATCTTTTAGCTCTTTTTTAAAACCCAGAAAGGTTTTATTTACCTGCGACTAGGGTTGTCACGGTGTGAAAATGTAACCTCACGGTTATTTTAGGATGGGAGGCAGATCTTTTAGCTATCAGGCTCCTCTCCTGTGGAACCAACTCCCAGCTTGAGTCCGTAAGGCAAACACCTTGTCTACTTTCAAGACCAGGCTTAAAACATTTTTAATTATTTGAACTTTATTTTTTCTCTAAGTGCTTTTCTCCCCAGAAGAAGCTACAATGATGTTCTGCTGAGCTGTGGTAGCCTCATGGAGGGGGCCATCGGCTAGCTCACTGCTGCTAACCACTTACACATTCTCCCTTTCCTGATAACGTGTGTGTGTGTGTGCGTGTGTGCGTGCGTGTGTGTGTGTGTCTGCTCTGTCTTCTCGATCCCCAGTGAGTCATGGTGGATGGCTGCTTATACTGAGCCAGGATCCTCTGGAGGTTTCTTCCTGTTAAAAAGGAGTTTTCCTCTCCACTGTCGCTGTATGCTTGCTTAGTATGAGGACTGCTGTAAAGACTCTGACACTAGTCAGTGACTTGATGCAACCTGCTGGGTTCCTTATATAGGAAACTTTTGACTGATTGGCTTAATAACCTGACCTGTATTGGAATGCTTCTTCTATTCACCTGATGTTAGATGGTGCATCTCTAAAAAAGCTTAAGAATTAAAAGAAAGCTATATTTAAATTTACCATAACTGTACTGGGTCTACTTTTGTTCCTATTTTTATGGTATAATGTATATTTTTAAACTGGTTTGGCTTACAGTAGCGTCCTTGTTGATCTATGCTGGCGTTTGTTTCCCTACATTTCCTTCAATCATACATCATTAAAACGAAGTATTATCCCTACAAAGCTTCAGGAGCAGAGAACCCTTTGCTCAAAGCTTCCTGAGCCAAAGGACTTTCGCAGAAAAATGGGACACATAAAAGAGAAAAGACAAAAGGGAGAAAATAGAAAATGAAAGATTCAAAAGAGCAGAAGAGGGGATGGATGCAGCTTAAATGAGCGTCTCAGGGAGGAATGCTGGATAAATATACTCCCTTCCACTGAATGATAGGCATTCTCATTTCTCATCGAGCCCCTGTGGAGATGGAGAGCTGAGCAGGACTGGACCTGCCATCTTAACCCTTCCCCTCTGCTTGGTTTACACGGCCATTACCATCTTCATCCTCCCAAATGCCCATCTTTTACTTCCATCTTTAATCTGTTTAATACACCCTCCTACCCCCCACCATCGCTCTGGCTCATCACTGCTATTAGCAGCTCGCCTTCTGACTTCAGCCATGGCATGTGATCACCATTAGCACCTCGTGGAAAGAGCACTGTCATCATGTGTGCCATCATTTTCCCCCATAACCGTTAAGATCATTGTAAAAAGATACCATCGCTTACACAATGTCTTCAGATAACGGGATGTAGCCTCACAGGTGGAACCTACAGCTGCTCTCCAGCTCCAGCAGACACATACTTATTTTTTACGACTTTGGTTCTTAATGTATATCCTTCCTCTCCTTCAGTGCCAGGAGCCAGAGGTTGAGGGAAGATTAGTGGTCAGAGAGACCATCCGGTTAAGAAAACAGCCAGAGGTTTGATTTCCTTACCAATTACCAGAGATCTGAGAGAAGATTCGAGCTCAATCAATGCTGCTGTTATATGACTGGGGGGTGTGGGTGGGGGGCGGGGTGGATCGCACAACTCAATAAACAGGCATCCTGTTTCATTACAACTGAGCCACGACCCAGTAATGTCTCTGACCCATGATTCACTTAGACCTGACACAGAAGCTGCTGGATGTCCCAAACCCCCTCAGTATGATGAAACCAAATCAAGACTTTGTCCTGTTTATCTGCTTCCTGATGGATTCTTTAGGATGGATTTATCTAAACCAGAGAATTAAACATGTGTTGCTACTTAACACAAAATGCTGCTACTTACATCGCAGGTCCTTATGATATTATACCAGCAGCGAGATTCACTTGGACCTTGACCTGGACTCCTTGGAAGAGGAGATTAATCGGGGCCCTCCTGGTGCAAAAAGGAGCATCAGCATCATGTAGGAGGAGACATTAAATAGGAGTGAGTGTCGAAATAATCATGAGGAGCTATTTAAGCTACTTCTGCAGCAGCGTCCACCAAGGAAGTCCTTTAAAACTTCACAATAAAAGCCTGACACATAAAATGTCTGAAGCTTATGAAATAGTTTGATAAAACTCAGAATAATTTTTCCACAACATCTTCAAATTTTAGGATTTCAGTTAAACTCAGTTCAGGCTTTAATGAATGGGTACTAAAATGTTCATTGAGCTGCTAATTAAAAGGATTTCCAGCACTTTGTTAAAATTAAACACAACTTAAAAGTTTCACAGTTTTTTATGTGCATCTAAAACACAAAATGCTGCATTTGAAAAATATTTCTTAATGGTAGTTTGAATTGTTAAATTACTTTTAAAAGCTTAAATCTGACCATCTAACCCTGTTCTATGAGACAAAGTAAGTCAGCTTCCATCCATCCAACTATTTTCTTCCGTCTCCTCAGCTACTCGAGCCAGCTCCTCCAGGGGAATCCCAAGGTGCCCTGGCCAGCCGAGGAGTAATGAAGGCATCCTGACCAGATGCCTGAGCCACCTCAACTTTCAATTCAATTTCAATTCAATTTTATTTATATAGCGCCGAATCACGACAAGTCATCTCAAGGCACTTCACATAATAAACATTCCAATCCCGGACAGTTCATTAAGCCAATCAGATAAAAGTTTCCTATACAAGGAACCCAGCAGGTTGCATCAAGTCACTGACTAGTGTCAGTGTCTTTACAGCAATCCTCATACTAAGCAAGCATATAGCGACAGTGGAGAGGAAAACTCCCTTTTAACAGGAAAAAACCTCCAGATGATCCTGGCTCAGTATAAACAGCCATCCTCCATGACACTGGGGATCGAGAAGACACACACACACACACACACACACACACACACACACACACACACACACACACACACACACACACACACACACACACACACACACACACACACACACACACACACACGCACGCACGCACACGCACACAGCTTGCTTTTGCATTGCTGTTAGACCAGATTGGGGGGTTGTGGTTCCCCTCTGATCACTGAGCCTGGGACAATAATTACATTAACGCTAAATAAATAGTTTAGAAATAAGTTCCTCTCCCTGATTTCATCTCTCTGAGTGACATGTTGCTGGTACACACGCCCCCTGCAGCACAGCTGGACAGGACTAAATAATTAATATGCAACATTTTGTGGAAGTTCACTACAACATAGATGTTTTTAGGTTTATTTAATATTAAAAATGCATTTTATAATTATTGCTGTCAGTATTTGTAAGATATTGGTCGGGTATTTGTGGGTATTTGTGTTTGGCTTAAAGAAGTTCAACCTCAGCCCTTTGGGTCATGAACTATGAGCAAGTGTGTTGGCCTTTGGGAATCCAGAGTTCATTATGTAATTATCTTGTTTATTTCGTTCACTTATTTATTTTTGTCCTGATTGTGTCCTGTGCAACTTTAGGACAAAATGCATGAATAAATTGTAAAAATCAACATAAATTTAAAAATCGTCTTCAACAATCGAGATCTCAATTTATGTTTATGTTGATTTATTTGACAGACACTTTTATCCAAAGCGACTTACAATTTATAACCTATAAGGCATGTTGTGAATTTCAGTCACAATAACCAAGAGTATCATTTTTGCCATAATCGAGCAGCCCTATGGAAAAGATCCTCCAGGATATGAAGGCTGTATGAAGAGCTGCTGCTGCTTCACGCAACATTGAGCAGCTTGTGGATGTAAAACAACTAACTTTTTATAGAAAGCATCAACATCATCATTTTAAAATAGGTTCATGAACACAGCTGGAACTTTGACTTTGTCCACTTTGACCTGACCTGAAAAAGACTTCAGACCAGGTCCACTCAGGACTGGTTCAGCCAGCCCAACTTTTGACATTTGGCTCATTGGAGTCAATAAAACATGAATTCCAGTAAATGTCCAACTCTCAGAGCCTGTGTGCGGCAAGTTTGGCCTCTAAATTAATCAGACCAAAATCCATCGTCTTATACCTCCCGTCGATGCCGGGGGGGGGGGGGGGGGGGGGGGGGGCGCTGTCCCCCCATTGACGCTTTGTGCTTTGTTGATATCAGCAGTCTGGACCCTCCAACGCACACCGGCTGGAGTCCAGCATTTTCAAAGAGTGTCGCTGGCCGACGTATCGAGCTGTTCTGGAGGATTTTCTCTGATCTGCTTTGTGTGTGTGTGTGTGTGTGTGTGTGTGTGTGTGTGTGTGTGTTGCTATCTCAGGAGCAGTGTAGGCGGTGTAGGAGAAGGAAGAGGTGCTGTGATAAGGTCAGAACTTCTCACATCTCTGTGCTGATAAAGCAGGAGCCAAAGCAGAACATCAAAGAGTAAGACCACACCTCTCGGTTATCTCTGCCCAGCTTTGTCTCCGGTTTTATTTTACAGCGGCGTGCTTCACCCGAGCAAAACAGCCTCTGAGAGTTCCACACAGATCAAATCTACTTTGTTTTGACCAAAAAGTTTCCTGGAAATCAGAATCAGAAATTAACAGATTGCTGCAAAAAGCCTGAGATGTCCAAGTCCCTTAGAACTCCTCATGAGGGAAACTACTGGAGTTTAGAGCTTTTGTGCTGCAGAAATAATGATTTAAACTCACCTTACGACTTATCAACTCAGACTTCCAGAGTCTGACAGAAATGTGGAAAAAGGAAAGTAAAAAAAAAAAAAACTTGTGGAATGTGACAAAAGTTAAAATCAGACAATAGTTTCTCTCCTCATATGAAAACAAAGTCCATTCAGTCACGTTGTTTCCAACAACACAAACGCCGAGACCTTTTGTGTTGTTTCATAACAAATAATCCCGATTAACTCCTTTCAGCTTGCTCGCAAAATTCCTGCAGACTTATTTTGTTCATTCAATTTAAGTCGGTGATTGGGTAAATAAGTAAAATAATGGAACAAATATTTTAGGTCTGTATCTGTCACATGTAAAACGTTTGAACCATAACTAATTCCTTTACATTTTTGCCCATCCATCCCTCCCTCCATCCCCCCCCGTCCACTTCTCCAGGGTCGGGTCACGGAGGCAGAAGCCTAAGCAGGGAGGTCCAGACTTCTCTCTCCCCAGGTACTTGGGCCAGCTCCTCCAAGGGAAACCCGAGGTGCCCTGGCCAGCCGAGGAGTAAAGAACACATCCTAACCAGTTGCCCGAGCCACCTCAACTGGCTCCTCTCTATGTGGAGGAGCTATCCAAAGCTCATGACCAAAGGTGAGGGTAGGAACGTAGATCCACCAGCCACATCAATGTAGAAGCAGCACCAATCGACCTATCAGTGTCACGCTCCATCTTTCCTTCAATTGTGAACAAGACCCCAAGATACTTAAACTCCTCCACTTAAGGCAGGACCTCATCCGTGACCCAGAAAAGGCCATTCTACCCTTTTCCAAGTGAAAATCATGGTCTTGGTTTTAGAAGAGCTGGTTCTCATCTCAGCTGCTTCGCTCTCAGCTGTGAACAGCTCCAGCAAAAGATCACAGTCTTCAGTGAAAATCACCATCTGATGAAGCCAACGGGACCACATCATCTTCAAAAGTCAGAGATCTGATCCTCAGGCCACCAAAACAGATTCCCTCAACACCATGGCTGCTCCTAGAAATTCTGTCTATGAAAGTTATGAACAGGATCAGTGACAAAGCGCCACCTTGACTGAGTCCAAGTGTCACCAAAATTGGGCCCAACTTACTGTGTGCAATGCAGACCAAGCTCTGACACCAGTCATACAGGGATGTAACAGTCTTCACCCGTTAACCCCACCTGACATTTGCTCCTTGTTTTTTTCAGATCCTGCTCATCTTCTCACCTCCAGCCATGCTCAGCGCCTCGCTGATTTTTATCTTGAGAGGCACTGTAGAAATGATACTTTCTTCTTCTTCTTCTACTCTTGGACCTCTCACCAGCCTGCATCTCCCTCCACGTAGTCACGCTCACCACCACCCATCCACCCTCCCTGGAACCCCTCTTGCCACTTGGACCCCGCCAGCTCAGACCTGACAACCCCTTCACATGCAGTCTCCTCAAGCTGCCCAGTAAGACCTCCACTCCTCCTCCTCCACCATCAATCTACCAAACCTCCAACTAACCCCGATTCTGCTTACTGACCAGGTCTCGCCGCCCCTGCATCGCCCAGTTTGGGACACCCTAATGGGCCATTCCCATCTGTACCGGGTCGGCCCGGGCCGGGTAGCGTAGGTTGTTTACATATCTGGGTGGCCTGGTATTTTTCCGGGCCAACCGAGGCTCATTCTCAGCCCTCTTCTCGAGGGGGTCTGCTTCAGGCCGACCAGGGCCAACACACCCACTGCTGACAGCAAATTCACACCTTCCATTAGAGCAAGCCTCTGATTGGTGGGTAGAATCAGCCCACATGGGCTTAAGGCAAGGATGTGTGGAATCAACCGGGCCAGGCTGGGGCCGACTGGGGCTACCCGGCCCGGGCCGACCCGGTACAGATGGGAATGGCCCATTAGTTGCTCATCATTTTAATAAAAACTTTGTTCTTATTCACATTTGTTTCTGCATGTCTTCGGGAAATGTATTTTTATTTTCATGTGACCAAACGCCCCAGAGGAGCTTCATGAATGCAGACCAGAGGCCTTAAGGCTCAGCTCACCAAAACAACCAGTTCTCTGGTTCCTTTTCATTCCTCCTCCAAACTAGAACCAGTCCATGAGCTTGATTTCTCCGGTTTAAATACATCCTCAAGCCGCCTCACGCCTCCTCCAGAAATACGCGTTTTTCATAGATAGTTCGTAAAATAAACAGTTGTCTTTGCTTCTGGCTTAACATGACAAAACTCTTTCAGATGGAGAGAAATATAGAAGTAAGTGTGAGAGAAAACGAGAGACTGGTTTCACTGGTTCTCACCCAGACGAATGTCTACGAGAGGTAAAAGGAAACGGGCAAGTGGAGCAGAACCGAACCAGAGGGCAACCTGGAGTCTGTCACTTCTGGGCCTGGAAACTGAAGTTCATGGGGACAAAGCGCGTGTGCGTGCTGGTAAGCGGGCGAGCAAAGTCCCGTCTTTTGTCTTCAATCCTAACAGTGTAACAAAGGTCACGCTCCTTCAGGATAACCCGGGGAGCGCACCGTGGGCTCCAGACCATTTCCCCCTGCTCTCTTTTTGTGATTTGGTGTCAGCAGAATTTCCGTGGTGTACAGACGACGCCTTTCATGTGGAAGGGTTCTCATGGTCTTGTAGACGCTCATTCAAAGCGTGGAACAATGCGGGTCCGTTACTATCCCAGAAAACTCACTGGCGCCCTGAACGGACTCTCCCCTTTCGTTTTAAGTGCTGTTAACTCTGCAGCCTAACAGGTGTAAAAGGTCAAAAGACCCAATGAGGGTTTCCTCCAGAAAGCTTAATCTGACGGCCAAAGTAAACCCTCAGCTTAGACGGTTCTGTTTTGACCCTAAAGAACCAGAACATGGAGAACACAGGCGTCTTTCTGTGGTGACAGTTTCCCCTAAGGTCCATCAGTTTACACTTTAACATAAACTTGTCATTTAAGATGCATCATATTCTAATGTCCCACTGGTCCTGGAAGGACCTGGTTCTGAATCCAGACAGATTTTAACCAGGAGCATTTGGAGCTCTATCTTGTGAAACATCAAGATTTTCTACAGAAAAAATGACTGACTGGCCGCTCCTCATTCCAGGTTGCTGCTTCCTGCTTCTTTAAGCGCCTCATGATTTTTATCTTGAGAGGCGCTACAGAAATTATATTTTCTTCTTTCTTCTTCAACGACAGGAATGAGCTGCAGAAACCACTGAAACTCACTACCTACATTCATCGTCTACCTTCAATAATTCATGGTGATCAATAGTTTCTGATCAATGTTCCTGCTTCTGAGTATTAAAGACTGGTTTAGTCTGTTGTGATTGCTCGTACTTATTATGCATGAGAACAGTCAATTCAATTCAATTCAAGTTTATTTATATAGCGCCAAATCACGACAAGAGTCGTCTCAAGGCACTTCACATAATAAACATTCCAATTCACTGTTCATTAAGCCAATCAGAAATAATGTGTCCCATATAAGGAAACCAGTAAATTGCATCGAGTCACTGACTAGTGTCAGTGACTATACAGCAATCCTCATACTAAGCAAGCATGCAGCGAGAGTGGAGAGGAAAACTCCCTTTTAACAGGAAGAAACCTCCAGAGAATCCTGGCTCAGTATAAGCAGCCATCCACCACGACTCACTGGGGATGGAGAAGACAGAGCACACACACACACACACACACACACACACACACACACACACACACACACACACACACACACACACACACACACACACACACACACACACACACACACAACACACACAGTCCTTTGTTTTTAGGTCTTTATGTCTGACTGTTTATATAATTGTATCTTGTATGGCTTATCTCATCTGTGTTCTTCGGTGTAAAGCTAACTATGTGCTGCTGCCTCTGGGCCAGATCATCGTGATAAACGAGAACAAGTTCTCAATCCACTCATTTGGATAAATGAAGGTTAAATAAATAAAAATTAAATGAATGAAAATTGCTTTTTTCCCTTTCATGTTGAGAGTTTGGATGTTTTTAGGTTTTATATTTAGGTATCATGTAAAAATGGCAGCAGGTTTTAACCAGTGAGTTCAGAATGTTTGTTTTAGAAGAAATTAGACTTGTTTTTATTGTCATTAACCCTTTGATGCATAATGGTCACTACAGTGGACAGGTAGTCAAAATTGTTATTCATTTATTTTTGCTATTAAGCACAGCTGCTGAAGACTTTATTGCATTTGAGCCCCTCCTTTTGGACTTCAGTAAGTCAAGCCAACATGTTTCATGTTCAGAATGCACGCTGTCCACTGAGGTGGACATGTAATAAATTATTTGTCCATCCATCCATTTTCATCCGCTTATCCGGAGTCGGGTCACGGGGCAGTAGCCTAAGACAAGAGGCCCAGACTTCCCTCTCCCCAGCCACTTGGGCCAGCTCCTCTGGGGGGAATCCCAAGGCGTTCCCTGGCCAGGTGAGAGACATATGGGCCATTCCCATCTGTACCGGGTCGGCCCGGGCCGGGTAGCCCCAGTCGGCCCCAGTCTGGCCCGGTTGATTCCACACATCCTTGTCTTAAGCCCATGTGGGCTGATTCTACCCACCAATCAGAGGCTTGCTCTAATGGAAGGTGTGAATTTGCTGTCAGCAGTGGGTGTGTTGGCCCTGGTCGGCCTGAAGCAGACCCCCTCGAGAAGAGGGCTGAGAATGAGCCTTGGTTGGCCCGGAAAAATACCAGGCCACCCAGATATGTAAACAACCTACGCTGCCCGGCCCGGGCCGACCCGGTACAGATGGGAATGGCCCATTAGTCCCTCCACCGTGTCCTGGGTCTACCTTTAGGTCTCCGGATGTGGCCAGAAAACCTCACCAGGGAGGTGTCCAGGGGGCATCCTGACCAGATGCCCGAGCCACCTCAACTGGCTCCTCTCGATGTGGAGTAGCAGCGGATCTACTCCGAGCCCCTCCAGAATGACCGAGCTTCTCACCCCTATCTCTAAGGGAGAGCCCAGCCACTCATCGGAGAAAACTCATTTCGGCCGCTTGTATCCGCTATCTCGTTCTTTCAGTCACTACCCAAAGCTCGTGACCATAGGTGAGGGTAGGAACGTAGATTGACCGGTAAATCGAGAGCTTCGCCTTCTGACTCAGCTCTCTTCACCACGACAGACCGGTACAACGCCCGCATCACTGCAGACGCAGCACCAATCCACCTATCGACCTCACCCTTCAGTTGTCCCTCACTCATGAACAAGACCCCGAGATACTTAAACTCCTCCACTTGGGGCAGGACCTCATCCCTGACCCGGAGAAGGCATTCTTCCCTTTTCCGAATCAAGACCATGGCCTCAGATTTAGAGGAGCTGATTCTCATCCCAGCTGCTTCACACTCGGCTGCGAACCGCTCCAGCGAAAGCTGAAGATCACGTTCTTTTTTTCTTCTTTTGTTTTCCCCCCTGTGTCCTGTCTGGCTGTGAAGCAAGCAGAATTGATGTCTGAATGCTGGTGACAAGCCTTACAGATTTACTCTCAGGTGGAGCATCAAAGCTTCTGCTTTTAATGTCACGCCTGATACTTAAAACTTTATTGTTATTGTTTTTGAATGCTTTTTAATTCTGACCAGACACGGAGACAGAGGTGAAAGAGAAAGGAAAAGACAAAAGGGTGTGTGTGTGTGTGTGGGGGGGGGGGGGGGGGGGTTCCACAAAAATAAACAATAATGAACAAGAATCTGCTTCTAGACCTGCAGAAAGAGAAAGAATAGAAAAAAATGGGACACACAACAATACATCAGAAGCAAGCTATCACTGCATCAGCCTGATGATGAAATTTAAAATCAACATTGTTTAACTGAACAATCACACGATAATAAATCATAGTGCATTTAGTGCCAACAACAGCCTTAAGACATGTGTTGAACGTGCCCAAGCCCATACTTTTGAGAGCACCATGTGAGCACCTGTGTGTGTACACGTGCTTGTTTA